AGGGAAGGCCTTCCCTTGCAAAGGCTAGGCCGCCGCCGCCCACCTGAAGCCTCCCGAGTCCCACCACCGGAGTTGCTTACCTGAAGCAGCAGAAGGCGAAGGCAAAATGGAAGACTTGAGCAGCGTGAAACTTTTAAACTTAAACTTTTCCGCCCCCAGCCCGCTCACTGATTGGCTGGAGTCTGGACTCCAGCCAATCAGTGAGCAGCAGGCTGGGCTGCCTTAGTCCGAATGGGTGGGGGAGCAAGCGAGCAAGCTGCAACGCGGCAAAAATGGGAGAGCGAGTGAGTGAGCGAGAAGGCGCCAAAATTAAAAATGAAAAATTGGGACATTTTGATAACGACACGGGACCCGGGACAAATTGTAGAAAATAGTGACTGTCCCACCAAAATTCGGGGCATCTGGTCACCTTAGACATAATTCCATGTCTTTCCATAATACTGAATTTGTCCAATCATAAATCCAAAAATTGTTGTCATTTTTGTCCACATATTGACATATTTTGTCCACTGACAGACAGACCAACAGACGGATGGATACAGATATAGATATACAGATATAGATGTGTTGCATTTGTGCTGATAAGTAAATAAAGGGAGACTAGTATAGATCTATTTCAAGCTATTTAACTCTCATCAGCTAGCCATACCAGGCTAGCCAGGGGTTGTGACACAATACATAGATATAGATATAAAAATCAGGTTTAAAATAAAAAGCTATTTTTATAATAGTATATGCATACATTTATACATGCATATATACATACATTACACACACACACACACAATATTTTTATATATTGATTTTATAAATGTTTATATTCCTTCCTCTAACTATCTTTATCTTGATCCAGATTAAGATTAAGATCCTGACCAAGATTAATCTAGACCATGTTCCTTACGAACAATCTAATTCTGGATCCTGTCTTCAGGATCCAAAATATTTTTTTCTGTTATGATTTGATTTCACAAATTTAAACAGTTTCCATATGTAAAAACAGTGAAATGAGTCAATCCTTTATAGCCTGAAGAACAATAAGAAAAGACTCAGGAGCCCAAGGAGCCAAAAAAAAAAAAAAAAAAACGAACAAACCAACCCCACCCACCACCTACAGTTTTAAATTACAGCTGAAGTCATTTCCTGAGATTCACTCCATGAGAGAAAAATTGCGTGGGTGAACAGTGTAGAAGGTTTATAAATAGAATTGCTTTAAGGACTTTCTACCTTCCCTAATCTTTAGCCTTTTCTTTCACTTAAATACATCTGTCAAGGATAATTAGTGTTATTCTCTAGTCCCTGATCTGCCAGGGGCCTGAGAGGAACAGATCCATCTTCTTGAATGGAAAGTTTCCCAACAGGTGTGGTGATCTCTCTG